CACCGCCACCCTCCTCCTTAATCTTCGGCCATGCCGTCCACGCTGGAACTACGCGCCTCACCATCTCTTATATGGCACTCCTCCCTCCTACGATGGTCTTCGAATTTTCGGTTGTCGTTGCTACCCCAACACCACCGCCACCACTCCTCATAAACTCGCTCCTCGTTCCGTTCCATGTGTCTTCCTTGGTTACCCGGCCAACACTAAGGTTATCGCTGCTATGACCCCGTGTCTCACCGTGTCATCACCTCCCGGCACGTGTACTTTGATGAGCTTGTTTTTCCCTTTGCACAGGAACAGGTGGCACCGTCTTCCCCTCCCGCGGCGGGATCTCCTCCATGCCGCCACCCGCTGCTGGCGCTGGGTGCTCCGGCCACCCCGCCCGTGGTGCCCCCCTCTGGATCGGGGCCCTCTACGGCCCCCTCCTCCGGCTCAGCGCCCTCGTCGCCTGGAGCCGCCTCGATGTCGCCCATGTTGCCCTGGTCCTCCACCATGCATGCTGGGCCGCATGATGGGCCGCTGGCTGGACCAGCCCGCACTGGCGCGGCCTCCCCTGGCGCGTCACCCTCGCCTCGGTCGCCCGCGCCAACCCCGCCTTGGTCGCCTGCTGGCGCGATCGTGGCCCCGGTGCGCCTGGTTCTCCCGACGCCGTGGCCGAGTCTTCCGCTTCGCCCGCCTCTCCCGTCGATGCTGTGGAGGCCCCCGCCTCTCCCGTGGATGCCACGGTCTCATCGCCACCCGCGGCTGCTCCGACGGCCGGCCCCGTCACACGCTCGCGCACTGGTGTTTTTCGCCCGAGCTCCCGCTATGCGGATGACTTCGTCTGCACCGCCTCGACGTCCGCTCCTTCCCCACTACCGTCCTCAGTTCGGGCCGCTCTCTGCGACCCTCTTTGGATGGCCACCATGCAGGAGGAGTTTGACGCTTTGCAGCGGAACCGGACTTGGCAGCTTGTTCCCCGTCCTCGGCACACTAATGTGATCACCGGGAAGTGGGTCTTCAAACACAAGCTTCGTCCCGACGGCACTCTTGATCGTTACAAGGCGCGTTGGGTTGTTCGTGGTTTCCGGCAACGCGCCGGTGTGGACTTCACCGACACTTTCGCTCCGGTTGTTAAGCCCGGGACGATCTGCACTGTCTTACAGTTGGCGGTCTCTCGTGCCTGGCCGGTTCATCAGATGGACGTCTCCAACGCCTTCCTCCATGGTCATCTTGAGGAGCAGGTCTTCTGTCAGCAGCCCACGGGGTTTGTTGATCCGGCATGTCCTGATCATGTGTGTCTGCTCTCACGCTCATTATATGGGCTCAAGCAGGCTCCTCGTGCCTGGTACCAGCGCATCGCAGCGTTTCTTCACCAACTTGGCTTCCACTCTACACGCTCTGATGCTTCACTGTTTGTTTATCACCAGGGCACCGACACGGCGTATTTGCTGCTCTATGTTGACGACATCATCCTGACAGCATGCACTTCTGAGCTCCTTCGCCGGCTTACTGATCGTCTCCGTGCAGAGTTTGCTATTAAGGACTTGGGTCCGCTGCACTACTTCCTCGGTGTTGAGGTCGTGCGTCGTCCTGATGGATTCTTTCTTCATCGATGGAAGTACGCTCATGAGCTTCTCGACCGTGCTGGCATGCTTAACTGCAAACCGGCCGCCACTCCTGTCGACATGAAGGCCAAGCTCTCTGCTACTGATGGTACTCCTGCTCCAGATGCTAGCTTCTACCGGTCCATTGTTGGTGCTCTTCAGTACCTCACTCTTACTCGCCCAGAGCTTCAGTGCACGGTTCAGCAGGTCTGCCTCCATATGCATGCCCCTCGAGACGTTCACTGGACTGCCGTTAAGCAGATTCTCCGCTACATCCGCGGTGCTATGGATCTTGGTCTTACTCTGCGTGCCTCTACTGCCACTGATCTGGTCGCCTACTCCGATGCCGACTGGGCTGGCTGCCCGGATACCCGTTGATCTACTTCGGGTTACTGCATCTTCCTTGGACCATCCCTGGTGTCGTGGTCGTCCAAGCGGCAGCCCACTGTGTTGACACCTGATTTTGGCAAGATACATATTGCAATGAAGATGGTCTCGAGTGAATGAGTTTTCAGCATAAAAATATTCACGTCACTGAGTGGAACCACTTTGATGTTTCGGTTATATTCATTCGACTTTATCTTACGGACCGAAACTATACTCTGAGTGGCATAGTTCAATGTTTCGAGTGGTTTTTTTGCCAATCACGTCTTTAAGATAACCTCGGATGAAGGAGCACTCTTAAGGAATTGTCTTCGTCTCGTCGAGGCAATCGATTTTGATATATAAATCATCTCAATCCGAGTTCATATGCAAAAGTTAGAGGCAATATACTGCAGACTGAACCTCAACGGAAATATGGCGCGAGGTGCGAGACACTTGTCTGATAGGTTGCGCGAGTAATTCGGCCATCAATACGGCCTTGAATCGAAAAACCTTCAACATGGAAAAGTTTCGTCTCGTCGAGCCGATCGATTTTCATATATAATTCGTCTCAATCCGAGATCATATGAGGCCTGAAGAGACAAATCAAGATCGGGCTATGTTTTCAGTCGGAAATCCGAGTGAAAATATGATCATCCGAGTGAAATTGTCGTCCAGGTGAAAATGTTCCAAGTGAAAAGATTACCATCGGGACGAAAACTTGCCGATTGAATAAGATAGTGCCTTCCGAGTGGAAATATAGTCATCCAAGTGAATAAGATAGTGCCTTCCGAGTGGAAATATAGTCATCCAAGTGAAAGATTGTCTTCCGAGTGAAAAAGTCCAATCGGACGATCCGAGTGAAAGTATCTAATATCCGAGTGGATGAGCTCAAGTCCGAGTGAAATTGAACATGTGCTCGAAAGTTTATCAAAATGACCTTGGATAAAGAAGTGTTCAATACAGAAATTGTGCGTATCATCAAGATGGTAAACTTTGATTTTGGAGTCATCATCATCAGAGATAATATATAGCCTATAAATTCACTACGAGACTCGGATAATCCAGTCTACTGCAAGACCGAGTCCGACTGGAAGATAAAGATGACCTCGAAAAGTATTCAAGATGGCCTTATTTGAAAAAGTGATCAACATGAGAGTTGTTCGTATCGTCGAGGCGCACAAGTTTGATATTTGGGCCATCTTGATCGGAGATCATATGCAAGCCCGGTGGCCCACGCAAGAAGGAAGACAGAGTTTGGGCCAGATTCAGACTGAATCCGAGTTGAAATAGAATTAGAACTCTAGGACGTGAATTGATGTAATTTTTCTTGTAAGGAAAGCCTAGATGAATCCTTTACTTGTACGGGAAGTCCATCCGCCTCTTATATATGTTGGGGGTGACGGCCGATTGAACAACACACAATCGAACAAATCAATATACTACTTTTTCATATACGTTTTATCTCTCCATCGTTTTTCTATCTCGTTCTTTGCTGTTCTTCGTGTTTGAGAGCTGCGAATCCCGAGGCTCTAGGGGCGAGCGAATCGACCTAGGGCAGCCCATAGCCGCCGCACTCCCTGACGGGGTCCCTCCCGGGGGTGTGGGGTTTTCGGGTCTGCAAAAGCTCCCATCGACTGTCTTGCGTATCGAGCTGTCGGTTGGGTCTCCTTCGACATGAGCTGCGGTGCATCACCCCCGGCGTCGAGGGTACACGTGACGTGTTCGTGTGTCAACACACTTTTTTTCGCGGTCTAGCGCCGAGGCTGAGTACCGCGTTGTGGCTAATGTTGTTGCTGAGTGTTCCTGGCTTCGTCGGCTTCTTCACGAGCTCTCGTGTCCTGTTGAGAAGGCCACCATCGTCTACTGCGACAACGTCTCCGCCGTCTACCTTTCCGCCAACCCGGTTCATCATCGTCGCACCAAGCACATTGAGCTTGATATCCATTTTGTTCGGGATCAGGTGGCTCTTGGCCATGTTCGTGTTCTACACGTTTCCACCTCCCAATAATTTGCTGACATCATGACCAAAGGCTTGCCTACGACGTCTTTCGAGGAATTTCGGTCCAGTCTCTGCGTCAGCAATGGTGTCGCTTCGACTGCGGGGGGTGTTGAGATATGTATTTAACACATGTATTCTTGTACTCCAAATCTCCTCCTTGTATATAGTTGAGGATATAACTTGCCCTATGTACTATATATACTTGTGCATATGCACCTATCAATACATTGAGAGTTGCCTCTTATTCCTCTACACCGAGGACTAGATCACTGGACCCTCCATTCGCAAAATAAAATATGAGGGTACGGGACCCTCTTGGACCGGCTCGAACGACCGGCGATGCCGCCATGCCGGCCGCCCGTACACGATCACCCGCCCCGGCCCCGGCCACTGATTGGTTTCCGAAGACGGCGACAAGGACGCTTCGGTAGGCGCACACGTCACCTCGGAAGCTTCCGCTTCTAGAAACCGGCTCGAATCTCGATCCACACAGCTTCGTATCGTGACGACCGGCGTCGCCGCTCTACGCTGGGGTAACATCTGCGTCCACGTAGGTCTCTGCGCCCGCGACTCACACAAACGTTCGGCAGCTCACGTGTCGCCATGCGCAACAGGAGATGGCCAGGAGCAGACGCATGTGTCCGTGTACGGTAACCCCACGCTCCTTATCACGTCCTCGCCTAGCCACCACTCGATGCTTCCTTTCGCTTGGCGCCACCTCCTCCTCCAGCTTCTCAACTTCTCTCCTCCCTCCCGATGGACAATTTCATCCATGCACCTATCTCCGCCGTCCGTCACGTCACGTCACGTCCGATGTCTTCAGCATAGCGCGAAGCCTCGTGGTGGAAACGAGACATCGGTCGTTCCGTACGCGTCACAATGACCACCGTGACCATGTCATAGGTGTCTCACAGCCACTGACCAGCTACGCCACAATTAACCTTCTTAATTCACACAGCTGTGCTCGCCGCCGTTACCACTATATAGCCGCTGTAGCGGAGCAAGCGAGCAACAGGGACCCGGAGAGAAGCAGGGAGAGGGTCCGAGCGATGGCGGCGTCGGAGCTGCACTTCCTGCTGGTGCCGCTGGTGGCGCAGGGCCACATCATCCCGATGGTGGACCTGGCGCGCCTCATCGCCGCGCGCGGGCCGCGGGTCACCGTGCTCACCACGCCCGTCAACGCCGCGCGCAACAGGCCGGCCGTCGAGGGCGCCGCCAGGGCCGGCCTGCGGGTCGACCTCGCCGAGCTGCCCTTCCCCGGCCCGCGCTTCGGGCTGCCGGAGGGGCTGGAGAACGCCGACCAGATGGTCGACCAGACCATGTACGTCAAGTTCTTCCAGGCCATCTGGGGCATGGCCGAGCCGCTGGAGGAGTACGTCCGCGCGCTGCCACGCCGCCCCGACTGCCTCGTCGCCGACTCCTGCAACCCGTGGACGGCCGGCGTGTGCGCCGCCCTCGGCGTCCCCAGGCTGGTCATGCACTGCCCCTCCGCCTACTTCCTCCTCGCCGTGCACAACCTGGCCAAGCACGGCGTGTACGACCGCGTCGGCGGCGACGACATGGAGGAGTTCGAGGTGCCGGACTTCCCCGTGCCCGCCGTGGGGAACACGGCCACGTTCCGGGGCTTCTTCCAGTGGCCCGGCGTGGAGAAGGAGCAGCGCGACGTGCTCGACGCCGAGGCCTCCGCCGACGGCCTGCTCGTCAACACGTTCCGCGGCATCGAGGGCCTCTTCGTCGACGCCTACGCGGCGGCGCTCGGCCGGAGGACGTGGGCCGTCGGGCCGACGTGCGCCTCCAGCTTGGGCGACGCCGATGCCAAGGCCGGCCGCGGCAACCGCGCCGACGTCGACGCCGGCCACGTCGTCTCGTGGCTCGACGCCCGGCCGCCGGCGTCCGTGCTCTACATCAGCTTCGGCAGCATCGCGAAGCTGCCGGCGAAGCAGGTCGCCGAGCTCGCGCGCGGCCTGGAGGCGTCGGGGCGGCCGTTCGTGTGGGCCATCAAGGAGGCCAAGGCCGACGCCGCCGTGCAGGCGCTGCTCGACGACGAGGGGTTCGAGGAGCGGGTCAAGGACAGGGGCCTCCTCGTCCGGGGCTGGGCGCCGCAGGTGACCATCCTGTCGCACCCGGCGGCGGGCGGGTTCCTGACGCACTGCGGCTGGAACGCGACGCTGGAGGCCATCTCCCACGGCGTGCCGGCGCTGACGTGGCCCAACTTCGCCGACCAGTTCTGCAGCGAGCGGCTGCTCGTGGACGTGCTGGGCGTCGGCGTCAGGTCCGGCGTCAAGCTGCCCGTCATGAACGTGCCCGCGGAGGCCGAGGGCGTCCAGGTCACCAGCGGCGACGTGGAGAAGGTGGTCGCCGAGCTGATGGACGGCGGGCCGGAGGGGGCCGCGAGGAGGACCAGGGCCAAGAAGCTCGCCGCAGAGGCCCGCGCGGCCATGGAGGAAGGCGGGTCGTCGTGCACCGACCTGGAGGACATGATCCGCCACGTATCGGAGCTGTCGAGGAAGAGGAGCCACGAGTACGGATGGGGCACGAGCTCGACGTCCCTGCTTTCCGCGGCGGCGGAGCTTGGAGTTGGAAGCAAGAGCGGCGCCAAGAAGATGGAAGCCGACGCTGCGTTGTCAGTGCACTCCTGAGCTGCATCTCGCCATTATTCAAGTTATTATAGGATTTGTGTTCTGTTCCGTACAACAATTCTTTTCAACGGTCGATACCACCATGTTGAAGTAGCAATTTGCCCAATTCATCCATGTAATATGATGCTAGTATAGCTTATATAAACGATGAAGTGTATCTTTGGCGTCACTTTACGAATCAATTAATCCATATGGATAGTTCTAGTAATTTGAACACCAGTTTGCAAAACACAACCATATCGGGGGAATCGGGGAAATATGCTACGAAGCACCGATACGACGATACGTACATGGGGATACGGGATACGGTAATTTTGAAAAACAGCAATACGGCGATACGACAGGTATATATAAATAATTAATAAAATTTCATATTATGAAGACAATGAATTGAATGCCTGAGATGAGATCCAAATACTGCCCATTTGTTGCATCCATGCTTATTTCTCGATGACCAATGATCATCACTTTACTCAATCCTCGCCTTCGGATGACTGAATCATCATCAATTTACTCAGCAGTGGCCAGTAGTCAGCAAGCACGCACACATAAATAACAGCCACGCATGCATGGCGAAACAAGCACACACAGCCAACACGCCTGCATCACGGCACCATCAAAGCAGCAAGCAAGCAAGTGCGGGAGGACCGAACACCACCGAAGAAGAGCAGGGAATGTGTAAGGGAAGGAATTATCATGCTGGCGACGAGCGACGGGCGGTGGCGGTGGCGGCAGAGGCGGGTCGAGTCCGGACGACGGCCAGCGGCGGCATAGGCAAGGCGAGCCCAGACGGCGGTGAGCGACTTCAGCCAACGCCGGCAGCGACAACCGACTCAGGCGGCGGCGGCGACGACGATGAGCTACTCCAGTCGTCCGCGGCGATGCGCTTGCCCGCGAGTACTCGAACTCGATCCAGTCTACCGCCCGAACGAATCGAGTGCGCTGGCTGTTTAGGGTTACGAGTGGGCTTGTACTGGGCTTCCCGTGTCCCCGACGTGTCGGCGCCGTTCTGGCCGCTGTATCGGCCTTTTTTTTCTTTCTTTTTAAATCGAAAAACAGGATACTCCATGGATACCCGTATCGATGGCGTATCTGACGTATCGGCATATCGGCGAAGTATTATAGGCGGACACGCAGCTTCTGGACGTATCGGTGCTACGTAGGAAATATGTGGTTAATCAAGCCGTGAAATGATCACCAATAGCTCGCAAGTCTGGCTAGGTGGTTTACAGATCTTAATGTAATTTTATTGTTTTTATTGTTTGTTGTACTGTCATAATTGAAGATGAAAAGCTCTTTCCTCCTTCACAAGAAAAATCCTCCTCTTACCGGCGTCGCAGCCGGTCCTTCCCATCTCCAATGTAGGCCATGGAGGTGCGGAGGATCTCGGCCCCCCACCGGCGGGAGGGACTCTGTTCTCGTTCTTGTTAGAGTCAACGTCTTGGTTGGTGTTGTGTGGCGGCGGTGATGTCTCTTAGTAGGATAATGTCTCCCACGTTCTATCCTTGTCCCGATAATGCGTCTAGCATCGTCAGAGAACGTGTGGAGGTTTGTCTCCGTCGGATCTTCCGGGATTCGGTCGGTGCTGGTCAGAACTGTGAAAATAAGGATTTCGGAGCCAACCAGAGAGGCTCTGTATACGCGAAAGGTCGTCCTCAGAAGTTTAACTGCCATCGAAATCTTCATGGCTCACTCCCGTTCGCCCGTCCCCGACGCCGACCACCCGCCTCGATAGCCGCGCTCGCCCGCCGCCGTTTCCTGGATGCCGACAGTCGCGCTCGTCCGTGACTCCACGGCTCTCGAAAAAGCTAGCTAGCTCAATCGATTCGAATGGAGCTAGCTAGCTTGCTAGCTGAATCGATTCGAACATCTAACTAGCTAGCTACGTGTGTGTCTCACCCGACCGCTGCCGGTCCCCGGAGATCGGTCGCCGCCCGCGCCGTCCCGGCCACCCTGGCCTCTGCCCGTGCGCCGCGGTCGCCCCGCATCTTCCTCGTCCGCCCGTCCGCCGGCGGCCGCGCTGGCCTACGCCATGTGCCGATTTCAAATTGACGTGAGGAAGAGGACGACTGGAAAAAAAGGTGAGCTAGCTGTCGGTCTGTTTGGTATATCTAGAGAATATTCTTTTTATGGGTTGATTACGGGATCTGTTCGACCGTAGCTCAAATCAACCCTTAAAACACATTTTTCTCGGTCCTTAGAGCAACCCCAACAGGGTGATCCATTTCGTCCATTGGCGTCTGTTTGGGTCGGCGTAGACACAAAAGTCGGACTAACGCGCCGACCCAAACGGACGTGTGCCCGCTTTTCATCCGCGGGCGACCCATTCCCGGCCCATTTTTGAGCCGGATTTGCGTCGACGCGGACACGAGACAGACGCGTGCGCGCTTGCCTTCTCCTCCCCCCGGGCCCGCTGGTCGGTGGCACATTGGCCTCCCCCATCCTACAGCAACCCTCGCCCGCCTCGTTCGTCGTCGGCGCCGCCGCCCATTTTTTCCAGCGACTCTGCCAGCTGCCGGCGCTGCAACATCCGCTCAGCAACGCCGACACCTCCCACGTCGCCCGCCACCGCCGTCTTGCTGCTGGGGAGCCGACTGCTTCCCACCCCCGCTCCCCCACCCCCCGACACAGCCGCTACCGCGACCAAGAAGCCGCCTTGCCGCCCCGGCCAGATCCTCACTGGCACGCTCGTCGGACGCCGGCAGAGCAGCTAGCTGGTCCGTGCGCGCCGCGACTCCCTTCGCCGGCCATCTCCTTCGTCGACGCCCGCAAGTTATTCGACAGTTTGCCAAGGTACAAAATGGACTCCGCCGACGAGTTCTTTTTTCACAATTTCCTTTGCGATTCCGACGATTCGTCGTCCGATGACGAGAAGGAGATATTGGCTGCCGTGTTGGTCTATCACCACCTCAACAGCCAGCGGCCGTTGTTCCGTGGCTCCATTTTGGGCCACCTTCCTGCGTTGAATCGCAACCGAGAGAGCGGGCATTTCCTTCTTTGGAAGGACTACTTTGATACAACAAATCCGTTGTTCAAACATCAAAAATTCCGTCGTCGCTGCCATATGAGTAGGCATCTTTTCAACCGTATTAGAGAGGGGGTGGTCGGCTACAATGACTATTTCAAGTGCAAAGAGGATGTGATGACCCACAAGTATAGTGGATCGCAACAGTTTTCGAGGGTAGAGTATTCAACCCAAATTTATTGATTCAACACAAGGGGAGCCAAAGAATATTCTCAAGTATTAATAGTTGAGTTGTCAATTCAACCGCACCTGAAAGACTTAATATCTGCAACAAAGTATTTAGTAGCAAAGTAATATGGAAGTAGCGGTGACGGTGGCAAAAGTAACAATAGTAGTTTTTGTAGTGATTGTAACAGTGGCAACGAAAAAGTAACTAAGCAAAGATCAATATGTGAAAAGCTCGTAGGCAATGGATCAGTGATGGATAATTATGTCGGATGCGATTCCTCATGCAACAGTTATAACATAGGGTGACACAGAACTAGCTCCACTTCATCAATGTAATGTAGGCATGTATTCCGAATATAGTCATACGTGCTTATGGAAAAGAACTTGCATGACATCTTTTGTCCTACCCTCTCGTGGCAGAGGGGTCCTAGTGGAAACTAAGAGATATTAAGGCCTCCTTTTAATAGAGTACCGGAACAAAGCATTAACACTTAGTGAATACATGAACTCCTCAAACTATGGTCATCACCGGGAGTGGTCCCGGTTATTGTCACTTCAGGGTTACCGGATCATAACACATAGTAGGTGACTATTGACTTGCAAAATAGGATCAAGAACTCACATATATTCATGAAAACATAATAGGTTCAGATCTGAAATCATGGCACTCGGGCCCTAGTGACAAGCATTAAGCATAGCAAAGTCATAGCAACATCAATCTTAGAACATAATGGATACTAGGGATCAAACCCAAACAAAACTAACTCGATTACATGGTAAATCTCATCCACCCATCATCGTCCAGCAAGCCTACGATGGAATTACTCATGCACGGCGGTGAGCATCATGAAATTGGTGACGGAGGAAGGTTGACGATGACGATGGCGACGAATTCCCCCCTCCGGAGCCCCAAACAGACTCCAAATCAGCCCTCCCGAGAGAGATCAGGGCTTGGCGGCGGCTCCGTATCGTAAAACGCGATGAACTTATCTTTGATTTTTTTTCTCCCCGAACGTGAATATATAGAGTTGTAGTTGACAACGGTGGAGCCTCAGGGGGGGCCACAAGGCAGGGGGCGCGCCCACAGGGGGCGCCATGTACCCTCGTGGACAGGGTGTGGGCCCCCTAGTGTTAATTCTTTCGCCAGTATTTTTTATAAATTCCAAAACGTGTCCTCGTAAATTTCCAGGTCATTCCGAGAACTTTTATTTCTGCACAAAAATAACACCATGGCAATTCTGCTGAAAACAGCGTCAGTCCGGGTTAGTTCCATTCAAATCATGCAAGTTAGAGTCCAAAACAAGGTCAAAAGTGTTTGGAAAAGTAGATACGATGGAGACGTATCAACTCCCCCAAGCTTAAACCTTTGCTTGTCCTCAAGCAATTCAGTTGACAAACTGAAAGTGATAAAGAAAAACTTTTACAAACTCTGTTTGAACTTGTTGTTGTAAATATGTAAAGTCGGCGTTCAAGTTTTCAGCAAAGATTGTGAACTAACCATATTCACAATAACATTTAGGTCTCATGTTTACTCATATCAATGGCATAATCAACTAGCGAGCAATAATAACAAATCTCGGATGACAACACTTTCTCAAAACAATCATAATATGATATAATAAGATGGTATCTCGCTAGCCCTTTCTGAGACCGCAAAACATAGATGCAGAGCACCCCTGATGAAGATCAAGGACTGAAGAAACATTGTAATTCATGGTAAAAGAGATCCAGTCACAGTCCTACTCAATGTAAATTAATAGTAATGCATGCACATGACAGCGATGCTCTCCAACTGGTGCTTTTTAAT